TAGAAATGATAAGTGCCATTTAAAATAGAAGAGTTACCTTTGGCAACTCTTTGTCAATCCAGCAAGAATCTACTTCCTTTGTCAAAGGTACCTTTCCTTCCCCATGATTAAAAAAATCTTGTGTTTTAGTGTTTTAAGAGGAAAAACTTGTTATATCCGAGTTATAGTCCACCATCTTAGACTTTGACCAATGACGTCATCTAATTAACATATATTATAAATTTGGAATCATAAAATTATATGAACTTACAGTAATGTCATGAATGTTTGATAAGAGAAAAAATTTTAAAACAAAAAAGATGGAAATTTTATTCTTATACTGAAATTGCTGAATTTGGCAAAATATGCCTGTCAGCAACCCGTTGCCATGGCAACATGAAAGTATGAATATCAAATTATTGCCAAATTTATTTGAGGAAAAGTCACCAAGTTTGGTGGTTCTAGTTTAAACTTTTCAGACATTATACAACAAGAAAGTGGCCGTGGGCCTCAAAACACCGCCCCCCTCCCCATATAACTGTTGCCATGGTAACCCGTTGTCAGCCCAGAAGGAAACAACTTTTGTAAGTGCGAGGTAGGTTTCCTTAGCACTTAAAAAAGCTTTAGATTTCGTTTTCTTTACTGTATAGCCATGCTGTGGATGCTTTTTTCACTTATAATGCAGCGGTTGGGATTCTTTCACAATGGAAATAATGGTTTAGTCTAGGGGTCACTGTACTCCCCCCCCCCCATGGAGACCCCAAAGATATTTTCTGATATGTTGTAGACAAAGGTTATAGCCATAGCTGTGCTAAAAATCAACTAATTCTATCTGCCTTTTAAGCGGCCATGGTTCACTAAAAACGTCCTAAAAATGGCTTTTTCTCAATTTTGAAATTTTACAAAAACACGCCATTTTTAAACGTCTGCTACAGCTCACCACAAAAACATTTCGAGCAAAACTTCATATCATTTTCTTAGTTACAATATGGATCATAAAACATGTTAGAAGCAATGAGATATGTGTTACTTTCTGTGAGAAACAGAAGGTAAAAGATGGTCCATTTTGGGCAAGACTTATGCCTCCACAAGGTAAAAATCCGCCATTTTGAAAAATGGCCGTTGCCATGGCAACCATCAACCAGCGAACCAAAACTTACCCATTTTTGTAAGTTTGGGTCAAGGCCCTACCACCACACAAAATTTAAGAGAATTTGATTTTTTGAGTTTGGCCACCTTATGCTTGGTTTTTACAGACAACTGCTCTTAAGGTTCTACGGCGTGTCTGCGTGCTCCCAAATCCGTAGGATTCCGTACGGAGGAGGTACTCACAACGCACGGATGCCGTACGATTGCCCACGTTTTTGCACGTAGACAGCACGCAGAAGCACGTGCGGCGAGTTGTGACCGTCGCTTAACAGTAATACGGTAACGCAATCATGTGCAATTTGGATTCCTTTAATTTCTGTTAAATCTAATGTCATCTAATTTTATTATGTTTATCAGTTACCTAGTTTTTCGGGGTTCCCTATTTACTTTTGCCTTTAATCTTACATACAATCTATATGTTTTTAATTATTGGCATCTGACCAGAAGTAATTATGTAATTAATCACATTCAGGGAAAGCCCCGTAAAATATTATAGGTTTCCTTCTGCACTTCCTTCTTAGTATTTCCCAGAAATTGACTTCTTTTGTTTATATGCAAACAACAACAAATCATACTAGTATATTCCGCTATTAGTTGCAGTTTCAGATGCCAATCAGGTCGTTTTGCCCGACCAATATCGAGAGAAAATATCGAGTACTGTATTTAAAAATATAAAACTTAAACCACATATCCTTGATAGGTTTTCTGCCCAAAACGTCGTTACTGAAAGATGAGGCTACCCGCCATGTTGTTTCTCCTGGCCCTGGTGTCCACTTGTGTAGCTTCGGAAACCCTCTGCCCCCCTCAGTGTAATGCAGCAAGCCGGCTGAAGGATCTCCCCACCGACATCACGCTTAACCAAGGCGGCCTAACGTCAATGGGAGATATCCCTCTCAATTCATGGCTCGTCTGCAAGGGTCTAAACAGAGCTATTGCTACCCTTGATTCCATTTCACAACTAGAGGTCGGAGATCTCATGTCTTCGTCAGAGGTACATCGTTCTAGAGAAATTAACATGCGTATTCTTCACTCTTTTTAATAATCAAATTGGTCTAAAGAGCAAAAGAATCTCTGTACTAATTTTATGGTACAGAACACCCTGAAACGGTTTGCCGCAGATTATGTACTTCTACAGTTAGTATATTCCAAATCTAGGCATCTCATTTTTCGGCCCTTTGTGTTTTTACTGCGCGCTTGCCATAAATTTAAGGTAATTAGATTTAAGGTCTCCAGTGGACGTCATCCATAGCAATTACTTGGTGTGGCCGTAGAAAATAACCTGACATATGTCCAACCTATCCTCCCCCTGCTGAAGTTATAGTACAATCCCTCAATGTAACGTCATTTGATCCCATCCCATTATGGGGCTCCCCGGCTATATCCAGCTGTCGGCTGTCTCCAAGCAGATGTAGGTGGGGGATTTCTAAACACAAAAGGTCCTATTACGGGGACATAACGACCTCCACGATTCTCATCTTTGAACTCAATCTTGGAGACCACCACAGTAACATGCCTATCAAATTTCATTAACTTCCATTCACACATACAAAAGTTATCCTGCTCACAAGAAAAATTAACAAAATGCCCCCTGTAGTCACAACGAAACCCCCCCACGAAGCTCAGTAACGAACTTAACCTCGGTCCTGACAATAGTAAGCACCACACCAAGAATTATAATCAACATTTTACAAATACTTGAGTTATTTTGCTAACAAGCCACAAACACAAAAGGTGCACTAACGTGACGCACGGACCCCCCACGAAGCCGAAACTTGTCCTTGACTTCGGCCTCAACAGCGGTAATCTGCCTGCCAAAAATCATGGACGTCGAATCATGCCTTCCAGAGTTATAACGCAAAATCCGCAGTTCCCCACACTCCGGCGAGACAATTTCATAGTCCTTCTGACGAAGACAATTATAGGGTAGCGTTAGAATAAGGTATCTAGAAGTAGATTTTAGTATTGTTGTTATCTTTTGATTTAAACACTTGCCATACATTGTATCCATTGCAATTGTTGCGCAATAAAGATTGATTGATTGTTTCAACGATACCTTGCATTGATGCGTCCAAATCAACAGTGGCGATAATCGGATATCCGTTCGGAGTTTTGATGACAAAGACATTAGCAAGCTATTCGAGAATCATCACTCTGGCTCTCGTAAAATGCGAAATCGCGGATGTTGAGGACAATGCACTGAAAGGTCTGGTTACTATGGGCAGGTTGGATCTAACCTATAACAGACTGGTTCATGTGAAGCGGAGCTGGTTCGCTGTTCTGACGTCGTTCCTTGTTTCGCTGGCTTTGTCCAGTAACCAGATAACGCGGATGGAGCCCCGGTGTTTCACTGGTCTATGGAACCTCCACTATCTGTACCTGAACGACAACCTGCTACGGAACGTGGACCCGGACTGGTTTACCGGGCTGAACAAGCTGAATGAGCTCAACTTGGAGTTGAACTGCATCGAGGTTATTGACGCGGGGACTTTTGAACACCTGACCCAGCTGTACAGACTGACTCTAGCTGGAAACAGTTTGTCACATTTGGACGGAGGCACGTTCTGGGGGCTAAACTCTCTCATTGTTCTGGGCAAAATCGGGGCAAGGTCTGCACACGATCTGGAGTGGAGTCTTGCTCTTGGAAATTCTGATGATTTCTATAAGGGACAGGACGTGTCTGTGAAAGTATCCAACGGCCTTCTTTTGTGTTATAAACAACTATTATAGCAAAGAAGGGTCACTGATGTGGACTTTTGATTCACTCGCGATAGAGGATTTTCACACCAATCAGTACCACACTGAACCCTGCAGCAGGTGGGGCGTCCATTCTCAACAGATCACAAGTCAGGCACCTTTTCTTGTCATTATTCAACGTGGATCGCTAAACCCACAGATTGACCAATGCAGACAGGCGTGGGGTGCCGCCGGCCTGACCGTGGCCTTATACGGTTGGTTGAACCTTCGACTGGTGTCCTTTTGGGAGGAAAACGAAGAGAAGGAGACTCTCGCCATTGTATTCGATCAGGTGCAAGAGACAAACGTTGAAAGCGATGAACGAAATACCGTCACATGCTCTCTACTTATGGCAGACAGCAGCAATCGGATTGTGTTCGATCATGAAGTCTATGGAGCCCAGAACATGCTCAACAAAACGTCCCCAGATCCATACGGGTTCTGTAAAAACCAAGGCCGTGGTCTGACGTCTCAACGAACACCCAGACGATCGACTGTGTTGCCAGGACAACAGGCTGCGTTACCAGGACAACAGACTACGTTGTCAGGACAACAAACAACGTTCTCAGGACGACGGACCACGTCGTCATGGCAACAGACCCCGTTCTTAGGACAGCAGACGACGATAGGACAACAGACCGCATTGACATTGACGACATTTTCACCGGCCAGTACTATCCTGAATAGGCCTGCCAAAGATGAACTGGATCCAACCCAACAGCTTGTGTTGGTTGTGCTATTGCCAGTGTTAACGTTGGTAATCCTTGGTGCGCTTCTGTTGAAGAAATACTCTTTCACCCCAGACAACCACCTGGACACACGTGCTGAGGTGTCTAGGCGAGGCAGGCGGGATTCAATCCCCACCGTTTCCCGTCTAGTCTCCTGCAGGTCGCTGCCTAGTTCCTTAACCACGGTCGCTGTTCTATGCTGCTGCCACTGACTTGACGCTCCCTATAGGAAGGCAAAGAGGGGAGCGTCGCAGCACTTGCGTATACCACGACGGCGTTGTAAGACAAAAGGAGGCGCGTCGCAAAACCTGCATATACCACGACGACATTGGTACAAATATACTCACTCACAAGTGTACATCTAGCGTTAATGTGCGTATGTATGGCAGAGGCATTGCTGAAAAATGTCATCCCGTAGCCTTCTATGGAAATGTAGAAGGGGCCGCTCTTAACCAAAGCATGGCGGCACATAGAACAAGAGAGTACAAGGCTTTGGTGTCCTCGCGCGAGAACCAAGACATAAGAGCATACATAAACGCAAGAAATGTACCAGAAACGCCTTCAAGTCATGACATGACGCCAACACTAGATTGCTGTATGTATCACTCAATGGATGACATACCTCAACGTACATGTAACTCACCATGGCAAGTTGTAGGGGACGGTAGGTGCAATATGCAACGGGCATGTTCCCAACCCGGGCTCCCGACCTCGCGTGAGACCTGTCAGAGGGAAGTCTCTTTCGTCCGTACAGCACCAAACACCCACAGATCAGGGCAAACAGTAGAAGACAAAATGCACGATAGACAGCAATCACGTTCCCTACCCGTACTCTTTACATACTCGAGCCAGGTTTCACAAAGTGAAGCGAGCCACACATTTTTAGATGCCCACTGGATAGGGAAGGTTACAGGTGGAGAGAATCGGAGAAAAGTGCGGCGGGCGTCCCTCCCATCATCTCAGAAAGAAGTGCGCGTAGTTCACACACTCCCAAACACCTACTGGCCGTGGGAGATCAATTCTATTGGACGGCTGGACAGATCGCGTCCATTACCTCCGGTGACCACCCTCCCAAACACCTACTGGCCATGGCATATTTGAGCGCGGGACACACACATGTAAACTAATCGTCATATATGCTCTTTTGTACCATAAATGCATGTCCGTTGGTTGATTATGTTCACTACTGTAAATGCATTTATGTTCGCGAGGACTAATTTTCGTATCTATTGCTATAAACCCTATATATACCATAAGAAAATATTCAGAACCAGGTGATTTTGATGTACACTCTGCAGTTAGCAAAATTAGAGCATGAATTAGGAAATGTCCATGAAGTATTTAAAGTCATCATGGATGTTTGCGTTTTGAATTTGCCTCATTGTCTTCGTCAAGAAGACTATGGATTTGTCTCGCCGGAGTGTGAGTGACTGCGTGATTTATCAATATAACTCTGGAAGGCATGATTCGACGTCCATGATTTTTGGCAGGCAGATTACCGTTATTATAATTAGGACTGACGCTAAGTGCAAGTTTGGGCTTTGTGGGGGGTCCGTACGTCACGTTAACGCACTTTTTGTGTTTGTTGCTTGTTAACAAAATAACTCGAGTATATTTTAATAGATGTTCATGATTTTTCGTAGTCAAACTACTATTGTATAGGCCAAGATCAAGTTCGAAAACGGGCCTCATGGGGGGTCCCTATGTCGCTGTAGTGGACCTTTTATGTTAGATATATAATGATTTCCCCCCACCAAACTCTGCATAGGGACAGCTGGCCCTCCCATCTGGTATCAATTAGTAGATAGTAGAGTATAATGGAGGGGCTGTCCAGGTATAGCAACTGTGGGGGGACGAAATGTTGGACATGCCTCAGGCTCAGGTCATTCCCTAAATTTTAAGGCCAGACCAAGTAATCTTTATGGTTGACGTCCACCGGAGAACTAAACTTATTGCAAATGCGCTATAAAATACATGAAGGGCCGAAGAAGACTAAATTAAGATGCATAGATTTGGAATATACTAACAGTGGAAATACAAAGGTTAGGATGCAAATAGAATAAAAGGATATAGTTTATCAACAAACGAAAACAGCAATAAATCTCGCCCTGTTCTGATTCTTGCCTTCATCACATTATTACAATTTACAGTAAGCAGAATTTTGGTAACAGTCATTTTTTAATTTTTTAAGTAACAGTCCAAAATAAAAAAAAAAGTTAACTGCAGGGGGCATTTTCCGTTTTTTTGTTAGAAGGATAACTTGTGTATCTGTGGATGGAAGTTTATGAATTGAACAGGGTGGGACAGCTGTTTGGTTGTGGTAGATGTTTTCCCCGTAGGTCAACGACCTAATGGCCATATATCATGGTAGGACCCCGCTGTATCAGCCAAATCTTGGAGAGGAGATAGGCGCCGCCAAGATTATAAGCCTACTGAAACATCGTGGCAAGTCCAGACATGCTGCTGGCTGCCATGATGCCCCTACGACCGTTGAGGTTATGGGACTTACATACATACATACATACATGGTAGGACAGATGTTTTTTTCACCATACACGGTTGGTCTATTAAGGCATGTAACTGTCTTGAACTAAAAGCAATAACTCATAAAATATATAAACATAAGACAATCGTGTCAAACAACGAATGATCCTTGACGAAGACATGAGATCTCTGAACTCTAGTTGATTATGTAAATAAGGTTTTATTATCAATTATGCAAATACATATCATAGGCGTAGTCATCATTAGATGTTGGCATCATAGAGAGAGTGTGAGAGAGAGAGAGAGGAAGAGAGAGAAAAGAACAACATGACAACACGTACAATATTCCTACACCTAACTTAAAAAGGCTAACTTTTGAAAAGAATATTTACACAATGCTTCTAGAAAATGCTGTGATTGTGCGATATATATACTCAATTTCCGAGGATATGAATAATGATGAAGATAAAGTATGCTTTCAGAGGGAGTGAAGCTTGGCATATGTAGGGTCGTGTGGCGCAGTCGGTAGCGCGTTCGGCTCACACCCAAGAGGTTGCAGGTTCGAATCCTGCCCATGTCACCGATCTTGTGCCCCTGGGAAAGGCGCTTTACTTAAGCTCATTTTCACATATTTTGTACACCATACCCTGAAATTAAACATATCAAAATTCGGAACCTTGCTTGTGCACCCTACTATAATTTTTAGTGAGTCGAAGTGAGTCACTTTGGGGTCCTTAACTATAGAAATCCCCATAGGGCGAAATCTGTGCTGTGCCGCCTTGTGAGCGAGAGTTTTTAAACCACATCGGCGTGGTTCCTACACGAAGTCGGCATTTGGACTGACGTAGGGAGACGGGGTAATCACGTGACCCCTATACAATCGTGTCATCTATGTCAGCTCTAATTAGCATAACAGCATACACCTGGCGCCCAGAGCCTTTCCTTGCGCATGCGCCACACAAAAAATCAACACAAGTTAATGAAACCTCTGGAATTTTATAAAGTTGTACATAGGGAAAAAGCACACATATGTTGTACATATCAATAATAATAAGAAATAGGGACAGCCGACAGGTATGCCAATTGACGTCTTATCAAAAGACTTTTCGGCACCAAGGACAGTTCTGCCTAGCTTGAAAAATCCAGCCATGCATGGCCCATTCCTAGCTTCCCTACCATTTTTACCTTCGCCAAGAAGGTTATGTTTTCAGAGGCGTTCGTGTATGTGTGTGTTTGTGTGTGTGTGTGTGTGTCTGTAAACACGATAACTTGAGAAGGCCTTGATGGATTGTCTTGATACTTGGTAGGTGGGTAGGTCTTGATGAGACCTCAAAATGATTAGATTTTGGACCCCCTAGCGGCTTGTTATAGTACTGCAGCTGAACTTCCGGTTTTGATATCTCATGATCTAGACATGCTATGGTGATGAAATTTGGATGGTAGGTAGCTCTTGTGCTGGGGAAGAAGTGACGTGAGTTTGAGCCCCCTAGCGGCTTGCCCTGGAACTGCAGGGATATACTCTTGAAAATATTCAAAAGGGGATAACTCAAGAAGCGGTTGACGGATCGTCATGATTTTTGGTATGTAGGTAGCTTACGTGATGCTTAATATAATTATGTGACAATTATGCAAATATGGATGTAATTTGCATAATTTATGGGGAAATTCTATAAATCAGCTGCATTCAATGATAGGACAATTGAAACTTGTGACATTGGTAATTGACAACGAGAGAAACACAGGCAGATATTGATTATGTTAATAATGACTTAATTTGCATAATTAATGAGAAAATTTATAATTATGTAATGATAACTGCCTGGAATTTCATAATTGTGGTATTTGAAAGTTAAGTTGAGGTGAACATCATTAAACATTATTTATTCAAATCAGGACCTCATTTGCATAATTTATTAGGAAAAACTAGAATGCATTGTTTGTTAATATAAGACTGTCTTTTGGTTAAGATTATGATAAAATGATATAATTCATGAAAATTAGGTTCCTATTTGTTAAATCAGGGGGGAATAATCTAATGTATAATTTGTCAGTCATAAAGATTAACATCATTTGGCGAAGGTATGAGATCGGGGAACTCTAGTTATTTGCTAAGTTCGTAAAGCTAACATGGTGGGTCTGCTTGCAAACACTGGCGATACTGCAGGCCACCACGAGTTGTTTTTCTCAAGGCCAGATCGCAACAAATTGTGTGTGACAAATAAGCACATCGCTGCTAGAATAAGATAATTGCCCATGAATATGAATAATTTATTAAGGAAAAACTGCTGCTCTCTCTTGATCTCACGCCTTTAATTACAAACGTCGAAATATGAAGAAAAAAATATTTTTCTTTAACTTCATAAAGTTTGGATATAGGAAACAAACGCACATTCTAAACACGTTCTTAACATCAATCATAGTACTATTAGTATACATTTTATGTCTCTCCATGTAACATAATGGCACATTGTGCCA